CCAACTGAAGAATCACATTAGCAGGATTCATGAGTGAACTATCAAAAGAAGTTACCGCACACGATCATCCTAAAAAGACAGGAAATTTATAACGATGGGAAAAAAGAAAAAAGAACATAGTTTCTTATTACTTAACATAGAAGAATTGTCTGCCAAATGGGATGAAAATCCGTGCTCATTGGAGATGAGCCCTCATTTAGTGTCAGGGCAACAGTAGTGGGCAAACCATTGGGTATGGCAACTGTGGACATGTGACTTTGGCCAGGATCAGTAACAGTTGATTTTACCTAAACGAATGAAAGAAAACCAAGGTCAAGAAACACAAGTTCTATTATGTAATTCTGTACATAAATTTGATTCAGATTACCTCATCCGAAATCGGAAACAAGATTTTTTTGGACAAACATGGATAGTCAATAACCACTATAGCTGTAGCCACAAAAATGTAACCAAAAGTTAATAATAACAACTATGCAAAGTATAAAATGACGACACACTTCAAACATAAATGAGAGGGTACCAGTACCCAACAACATCACTTGAAGAACTAAAATAAAATACCTGGGCTCTTTGCAGCATTGAGAGATACTGCTCCCGGAGAGAGCGCATCTTGTGTTACAGATAAATTTTTGGCTCAGCAGAAGAAGTTGGAAGTGAATTTGGTGTTGCCTGTGAAGGATAATACATAAGGTTAGTGTGGCTGATGAGCAGGAAGCATTGGTTAATGGGGACCAATAAGAAAAGAATTTCAGTTTACCAGAACATATGTTACTTGCAAACTGTTCCCAGTCGATAGAGACAAAGACAAACAGTCCTGCCATTCACAAACATGATCAATGAAAAGGGTTTCAATTACTGTTGATACTATATTTTCGGTTGAAAAAAAAAGCTGAAACTGCAGAGAAAGAAGGATAGAAAGCAGAGTATTTTGAAATGTTCAGTATATTTTCACTATAAAAAAACACAGAGGAATTACATGACTATATTCCTCTTCTCAGTCAAAATTCAGATCCTATTTTTTAGGGAGCATGATCGGAGGTTACGATCTTTCCACTTGGAGAATGATCGGATGACACAGTACAATCTAAATGGGATAAGAATAACAGCTGTGAAGGTTTTTAAAAACAGAAATAAAGCTAGCTGTTACAAATTTAAACTAACGGCTATTTCTAAAAGAGGCAAATTCTTCATTCTCTTCACTTCCAATCTGCAGGATTGTCATCTGCAGGTTGATTTAAGCTAAGTATGCAGCTTAATTCTCAACAATAACTGGATTTGGACAAAAATCAGTAAGTGTAGACACTGAGCAGGATCATTGGTTAATGAGGACAAATACTTAGGAAAAATAAATTTATGTCACCAGAACATATCTTACTTCCAAATTGTTTTCAATTGGTAGAGGCAAAGGAACATCTTCCTGTGGTTCACAAACATGATCAACGAAAAGAGTATTAATGACTGGATTTGGACGAGGGTTTTTACACTGTTTATGCTGCCAATTCAAGCTGTCAAGTTAAACACACAAGTCAGTCTCTCTCCCAGTTACAAAAACTGGAAAGTGACTAAATCTTTTACTAAATATGTATGAACATATGCAATCACAAAATAGAAAGGAAGACAAAAACTAGGAGGAAGCATTACCTTTGGTTAATGAGATTATTTAATCTATGACTTTTGATGCTAGGATACTTCAGTTTGCCACGGAAAACTGGATTTGCCTCAGTTCTTTCATCATAGTCTTCCTCATGGACATTATATCTCCGCATATAGAGGGTGTCTTATGATCCCTGTTGGATTGAACCCGTACACATGTGATGCATTTTTTTGAACAGCTCCTCATTACCTTCGGCAAAAATTTTGAGATCCTTCATGAGGATATCTAATGCCTTGGCGTGACAATTGCTGTCAAGAATGAACCAAAAACTTGCAGAACATGTTATTTTTTAAGAGATTGTTTATGTATAGATTATAAGAAGCTTAAAAAAAATGATGTTCTCACTTGTCAATGGCCTCAAGGAAAGGCTAGTGATTCTTTTGGCGTGACCCTCAAGCTTCCTTGTAACCTGCAAAATATATAAATCGAGGCAATGACAAACTTTTCAGGTTTGCTTCATCACAACATCGAGCATGATTTGTTTTTTTTACAAGAACAAACAAACTACCTCGTCTGAGTGGAGATTGTATATTACAATACAAGATTTGGGAAGTTTTGGATGGGAAAAGAAAATTTCAAGAATACTATTTGTGTTGGGTTTACCTTAAATGTTGTCATGTCAAAAATGGAGATCATCCCTCCTGTTGCTGATATGAGAGATGAATCATTCTTGGACAAATCAAAGCAGGACATAGCCTCTTCAGGGTTGGTGCTGGGAAGGTCATGGTTTCCAAGGGAGATGTCAAATACCAAACATCAAATTTAAATTTGATGGCTGATGTGGCAATTTGACATTTACATACTTTTACACTCTACCCGATATGTCAAATAAATAATTATTGTAACAGTCAAATCATTTAAGATAAAGAATAAAAAATAAAAAAATAAAAAAATAATAAATGAAAGTAACAGTCAGCTGTCTTTAAAAAATAATAAAATATTCATTTGACATCTTGCTTTTGAGATGTCAAAAATAACATCTCAACCTCTAGCCTTCATTCCATATCAGCTTTGACATATCGGTTGGAATGATGTGAGATGTTATTTCTAGCTGTTAAACATCTATGTGGCACGTTTGACACATCGGTTGGAGATGCTCTTAGGTCCTCTAAAAAAAAAACATGGGTATCACTAGAATCTATCCTTCCTTGTTAACGGGTCGAGCCTTTTTTCTTGCCTTTTCCAGTCTTTGGCACCTGCATTGCATACACACACACACACAAAAAGAAAAAAAAAGAAAAAAAAAGATCACACAAATATCACGAGAAAAAAGAACTTTGATGATTGATGAAGATCTACCAACCAACATAAAAGAGGACAGAACTGAATAGTGGAACAAAACACAAGAGAGAAAAATAAAAGGGGTATGAGAAGTAATCGGGGGCCCATCTCTTCTTTTGTTTTTTGTTTTCCTTCAACATATAAAGGGAAATGACCCTCACTACCACCCCTTTGTTAATATTA